TCCCCTGGAAGTATGGGCCCACTTTGCAACGCTGGTAATCCAGCCCTAATGGGCAGACAGGAAAGCATTAGACAAGATCCTCTCCCAGCATGATGCTTACATTCCCAGCATTATGCAGCAAGTGATTGCCACACACACACACACACACACACACCCACCCATGTCTCCATTCATAAATTTCTCTCTGTTGTCCCCAACTAAATGTACAGTTCACACAATACTGACACTTTCACAAGCCTGGACTTCCCAGTTTGCCACACATGCTGCTGCTGTGTGCTTGTAAAGCATTAGAGAAGCACACACATTTGAAAATAGGCTTCTGAGAATTCTGTATTGCAAAAGTGTGAATCAACCTCAAATCCCTCAGCGTAGTAAATCATAGACAATATGTACCCTTTACTCTTGTGCAATGGCTGTAATGATATTGTAAGAAAACCACCAACTAATTCAAAGCAGCAGCTGAAAATGGATCCACTCGAACCCTCTCAAGAACCACGGAGAAAGTAGATAATATAAAGAGACAAAGAAAGAGAAAAAGAATAAGAAAAGAATAAGAAACACAAGGATATATACTGTAAGACGCAAGAGGAAGTTAAGAGTAGAAGAGAGAGCAAAAGAGAGAGAGAGAGATAGGCCGAATCCACTGGCCAGCATGAGTGAGCGTCTCTGAAAGTGGATATGAAGGCGGATGAGCCACGCCAACCTCCTCTGACCGCATTAACAAAACCTAATGGAACGGCTGGCTCCAAGAGGCCTCGTCATCCATTATCTGACTGTTTCCCTGCGCAACCAAATAGGCTCACGGTCTCAGTGGCTGCAGCTCAGCTGTCATATACACTACAATCTCCCTTTTCTTTGTCTTATTTCCACTGGCCTTAATGAAAATGATTGGTAAATCAATTGCCTGGTACGTAAAGAAGCCAGGGCAACGTTGCCTCCGCCAGGCCTGTGGCCACAAATCACTGTAAAATCAGCAGGAGAGGAAAAGATGGTCATATTTTGTTTTGAGAGGCAGCCATCATCTCAGTACACACACCAGATCCATCATTACCAGGTCATGGCGAGAGAACAACACAGTGCGCTCAGACTGAATCTTCCAGTTTCAGTCTGATTTACTCTCAAATAACTATTTCAACATATTATTCATTATTATTAAATTTTGAGGTCTTTGTATTTTACTTGAGTATTTTCGTTTTCTGTTACTTTATACTTTAACTTATTTTCAGAGGAAGATATTTTACTGATTAGGCCACTATGTTTGTATGTTTATGCGGCAGCTGTAGTAACTAATTACTTTACAGATTAAGATTTTATGTACAAGAAATTTGCTTAAAAATATGATATATTGCTTTATACAAAACTACCTAAAACTATATACAGTTGGTTTAAATACTGCGTACACATTAATACATCAGTAACAATAATCCAGTGATATAATGTATAAAAATTATATAATAATGACAGAGGCTTACTTTTATTAGAGAAGTACTTTTACTCAGATGATAATACTTAAACACTATTTTATATGTTATATACATCACATTATATCAGGTCTGCCGAAAGTGGAGCCTGCATTTAAAAATATGTATCATCCCTAATTATTAATCATTTTTAACAACCTGAGTACATCGAGTGGCACTTTGCGCAGGAGGTCAGTCAATTCAGGGAACTTCCTAGAACCATTTTGCATCTTAATACAAAACAACAATTGCTTGCTTTCGGTCTGTGGCTTCAGTTTTAGTTTCAGTTTTGGTCCTCCAAAGGAAAAAAGCTTTCCTCTTCTGACCACTCGCTCAAATCATGGAACCCCTCCCTCTTTTCCAGATCTCTCTCATCAAGCAGAACCTTGTTGTTTTCCAAGCTTCTGCTCATTAACAAGAGGATTATAGCGGGTGGTGTTTTAAGGAGGGAATGACTCAGAAGACTTGCTCCATAGGTCTTGGTTAGAAAGACCACCATTGTGTGCTGATAGTGGTGTCTGTGTGGAGACTCCAGCACAGCTCCCTCGCCAGAAATCACTCCCTCTTACAGTATATCTTTGGTATTCTGTGATTCTGACCTTGTCGTTGAGCGGTTTAGACATTTCAGTGTGGCAAGTGTTTGAGCAACCTTCGAGTGTGGTGAGAAAATGACAGCATCCTCTCAGAATGGGAAGGGGCAATAAACCAAGGGGGAGGCTACTTACATAGGCATGCTACACAGAAATTGCTTACTTACTGCTAGGTAGCTAATCTCTCGTTAATCCACGGTACTTACCCACACACACACTGACTGCACCTTTTGTGTGGTCGCACAGAGAAAGTGTTTTTCTGTGGCCGGTGGGTCGGGAGCAAAGGCTGGTCTGATTCAGGACATTCCCAGGAGCACTGGAAAGAAATGAGGACACTGAACAGCTCATGCATTGTGTGTGTGTGAGAGTGTGAGTGTGTATGTGCCTTTGAGTGTGCACACAGGAAAAAATGTTATGTTTATTGGACGAGGCGACATCAAGTGAAAAATGTGACCTCGTGCCACTGTGTCGGCTGATGCAGTGATAACAGGATGTTATGAATTTGGAGGGATTAAATTCATGTGACACGAGTGCTCCTGTGCCACTCACGCACCATCCATACAAGATCATTATTTTCCTCTTGAGACAATTGTTCTTTTCTACATTTGTCTTTAGCAGCATGTTTTTCTTGTCAACAGATCTCCAAATGATCATCATTTCTCAATAATGTGAAATCAACGTCAATACTGGTGCTGCGGTTTGTTTTCTTCTTGCCCTCTCACCAGCCCGGGCATGGATTACTCATACAACAGGAAATAATGACGCCAAGGTCCATTAAGTGGGATGGCAGGACATCATATCAGCATTAATCTGCCACTTAGCAGAGCAGCCCCGGGAGCGAGACGGGGAAGGGAAGAGGAGAGAGAGAATATGATTTTCAGCTCTTCCCAACTGGACTTAGGCTTTTAATTTCTATTATTGTTTTGTAATGATATAAAACTTTGGTCAAAAGGTCTGATGGAAACAAATTGATTTTGGTGATCATATGACTTTCCTCTAGCAACACAATCGGAACAAGTTTTCCATTTTCAAATGTCTTCGCCTCATAAACACGCAGTTGTTTTCTGTACATGTTCATGCTCCCAACATGAGAGAGCTTTCTTTTTTTAATAATCTTTATATAAACCTTGAAGTCACACTGAGATGATTTCATTTGATTGGATGATCTGCAGTAAATGCCTCAAAGTGCAGGATGACTCATCAAAAATATCTAATTATTATTACAGGAAGAGAAAGAAATCTGTGTATGCAAATACTCAATAATGTTGTAAAAGTAATTATTTAGACTGGTACAAAGCATCTTTTCTCTTATAAGATTGGCCAACTTACATTTTTAAATGTAGGCCTTGACTCTGCTGTAAGATCCTGCGGAGGACAACAACAGTTCACAGAACAGGACAACAGAACCTTTTGGTTTATAGTCGTTGAAAGAAAATCCCAAATATGATTAATAAAATAAAAATAACTAACATTATAAGAATAAGACCTTAACAATTAAGTGTAGGTTTACTGGTCATTTCCATAACCAGACCGGACATAAAGCTGCATGCAGGACCAGTGATAACAATAATAGACCTTTTTCACAGCAGCCATTTTGAGGGAAGTAGTAGGGTAAACACAGGTCCAGTGAAACAACTTTAAGTTCTGTTCCATTCAGCGTAGCAGAGCCTTTCCACTGAGCCAGCACCCGGACTCTGTTTGACCTGAATGAATTGGAAACTTAATTAGTATGACTGGTAACGTCTCTGTTTACTCTACATTTTAGGTCAAAATGGCTGCTGTGAAAGAGGTCTATCCCACTTACAGACTTGTCTGTGCTTCAAGAAGTGCTTTATTGTTGTGGAAAGGATACTGAACTTAACAGATGGGTGCACCTCTGATGCAATTATGTTCACATTACAAGAATTATAATTAAAACATTTTAACATACAATATATAACTTTTAACTTAAGTCTGAACAACAACTTAATCTTCAGCATCACATCCTTAGCACAGAGGAAGTCTTCAATCGCAAATGCGTCAACACTTTTTCATTGGTTTCACACATTTTCACACCTTTTTCAAAACAATCTCATAAACCCCCCCCCCCCAACATATTCTCTATTGGAATAATAACATAACACAGGTGATAGAAATCTCTAATGCAGCTGTGTGAGACACAATCAGCAATCAGTCCTAAAAAATATACCACCTCTGGGTTTCTGTTTACCAGCATAGATCAAAGAGGCCAATACAGTACAATGAAAACAATGTTTTCACTATTTCTGAGTTTGGGTGAAATTCTTTAATACCGTACAAAAGCTGTATCATAATAAATGTCTGTATGTATGGAGTCTGTGTGGTTACTGTAGGTCTTACATTAATGCTGCACACAAGAATAAAATGAATGGACATGTTTTAGGAATGTCTCCTGCAGTATTTCCACAGGGCATCTCAAAGAAGTGTAAAAAGTGCAGGTGCAGAGTGCAGCAGGATTTATTACCTCTAGTAAAATCATGTTTGGATGATGGCTTGCCTTTTTTTTGGCACATACTATAATGTACAGTATCAACGCATATATATAGGTTCATATGGGTAGCTGTATTGTGTTGCTCATTGTGTATTGATTGAGAATATATTAATGTGACCACAAGTTGTGTTTCTTGAGGGAAATATAAATGAAATATAAGCTTTTCCGTAGTTCGTTGCCATGGTGAACAGCGCCGCCTAGTGACGTACATTCTCTGGTACGACCCTTCAACCATAGCTGTCCTACAAGCTGCCTGAAGGACCGTTGATAGTACGATTCAAATCCGTTTTAAATATTAAATAAAACCGGAATATTCGGTATAAACACATTACACTGTATGCGCCTAGTCTATTTTCATAAACACGTAGTAATTTAGCATTTGTTGTAGTTCCAGTCCAGAGTAACTGGTAGTCCAGCTGTTGCCTGATCACAATCACCAATCAGTCGCTGTTAGCTGCTCGCTGTTAGCTGGTTGCTAAACGGAGTCCCCGGCTGTCAGTGACCGAGAGCGGCGGCAGCTGAAAGTAGTATTTAATCCGTATCTGTGCGCTGAACACGACCGCCACGATGTTTGAGGAGGCCAGTGAAGTGTTTGATAACATGTTTAAATCGTCGTTCCCGCTCACATTCATTGTGTTTATCCCCGCGGTGCTCATCCTGGTGTCACCGCTGCCGGCCGAGGCGGCTCATGAGTTCACCGTGTACCGCATGCAGCAGTACGACCTGCAGGGACAACCGTACGGTGAGTCCGCTGTCCTCGGTTTCATCTCCCGGGATTACAATGTCCACTTCACGTTACTTTGACCTGAAGTAACGTTTCAATGACAGCCTGCGAGCGAGCGAGCTGCTAACGTAGCATAGCTGTGCTAGTAGGCAGCGTCGAGCTAACTGGTTTGTCTGCAATCAAATAAGAGTAATTTCTTCTTATAAATGAAGTCTGAGCATTATTGTAAAGTGTGTGTCCCCCTCGATAATCTGTACTTATTTTATTATTAGTTAGTACTTAATTACAGCAGCAACATTGTTAAAAATACGTCTAAATTGAACTGGAGCCTCAAAACCAGGCTCGCAGAGTTGGTCCACCCTCCTTCTTCAACTGTTTATACAATAATAAAGTGATTTATTTGTGTATGTTTCAGTTGTGTATAACTGTGTGATAAAGTTTAGTCAGGATTGAGGCAGATAAAGTAAGGAAACATTTTGATAAGGAGAATAAAGGCTGCCAATAACATCTTCCTTTCCCGACAATCCACTGAGTGAAAAGGGAGAGAAATTCAAATGTGGATACAACACGGGTTGCTTTCGTAAGTATCATATGTAATTACACAATTAATCCAAATATTATTGGAATCACAATATGTCCAAGTGCAATTATCAAATCACAGAATCAGAATGGTTTTTGATAAAGGTGAAAAGTGTGAAAAACCAGCTTTCCCCTCCTCCTTTCAGTGAATTTCCCCAGTGTGGGATCAATAAAGTCTAACTTATATTATTTATAGTACTGTAGTGCTGCAGAGAGGCCCTGGCCTACAAATCTTGTTCTCCAGATGTACAGAAACACGTTTGTTTAGTACAGACTCCAACAAAAGTCACATGGTCATGATTTTAATCTCGAGCAATCGCAACATCCGTCAGAGTTTTTTACCATATGCTATGTGTTACCTCCTATTTTATCTATATGTAATGGCTATTTCTGTAGCAGGTTTTAGATGAGCTCACCTAAACGCAGCCCCTTGTGTGATTCACTGTATTGAACAGCTCTAGTGCTCCAACAGCAGGATAAGTCACTCTTACTGTATCATAACTGATGATCCGTGTATCTCCTTCCCTTCAGGTACCAGGAATGCCATCCTGAACACGGAGGCTCGTACTGTGGAGGCAGAGGTACTAAGTCGTCGCTGCGTCATCATGCGGCTGGCGGACTTTTCCTATGAAGAGTACCAGAAAGCCCTGCGCCAGTCAGCTGGGGCAGTGGTCATCATCCTGCCTAAGAACATGTCTACTGTGCCTCAGGACATAGTACAGGTAATAGCAAATCAATGTCCGGGCTGGTGATGGAACATTTAAGTCAATGTGATCTACAGATGTACAAGAAGAAGAAGAATAATTAAGCCATTCACATTTATGTTGTCAGTCTTTGCATGGTACAAGTCACGAGTAGCATCCCTTAGTTCTGCTCAGCGTTACTAAGCAGCGCCCTTCGCCACAATCACGCAAACCACAAGCTTATCTGTTTTGGGTTGAATTAGTTTGTGTTATGTGTCGTGCTCGAGGGCACCTCAACAGTGGTGAGAACAGAGGGAAAGGTGGTGTTCCAACCCATAGTTTATGTGACAGCGAAATCAGTCTGAACAATGTTATTAAAGCTTTGCGTGACTCAAAAACAAAGAGTTAGAGGGAGGACTGTGACAACTGCTGACTCTACAGTGTACAGTGTCTTGCTAACCCTTTTACAGAGATTGGATTTTATCTCACTAAAGCACACCTTGCGCCAGTTTAGTGAGCTAATGAGACTTTGCTGCCCTATGAGTGGGATCGTTAGTGTTTCTAGAAAGCAGAAGTAGTTGGCATTTGATGAGTTACTCATTTGGTTACATAACTCGTTTCCATGTTTGGTAAATTATTGTAAAGGCAGATTCCAGAAAAAGCTAAATGTCGCAGTTTCTCTCTTCTTTGTTGTAGCCATCTCATATCACTCGCATTCCCCTCAAAACGTGAACAGTGCTGAACTTTCAGGGTTGAAGGAATTAAATCAGATTTCCCCCTTTCAGTTTTAATCCATCAGCATCTCACGCTAACAAATGGAGCTGTGTGTCTTAGCTTGTTAAACACGCCGTTCCCCTCGGTTTATCCTGTGCAGCAGTTCATGGAGCTGGAGCCTGAGATGTTGGCGACTGAGACCATCGTCCCCGTCTACTTCGCCATGGAGGACGATGAACTGCTGTCCATCTACACCCAAACCCTGACCTCCTCCTCCTCACAGGGCTCCTTATCAGCAGCTGAAGGTAGAGTCTTAAAGTCTGGTCTTATACAGGTAGAGAAGTTGGCAAATGGGGCGTGGCCACTCAGCAAGTCATTCAGGTCTAATTTTATGTTTTCTGTTGTTTCCTGTAGTGCTGCTGCATACAGCTACAGCCAACGGCTTCCAGATGGTCACCAGTGGAGCTCAGAGTAAAGCAATCAGTGACTGGGCCATCACCAGTTTAGAGGTGAGAGACCGAACCAAAATCTAAAGACAACTGTAACTGAACGAGCTGTTTGAAACACACAGACCGCGTTGAAGTGATACTGTTAGTCATGTTGACTCATGCAACAACATTCAGTCACTAGTAAGTATCAGAAAGGCTTTCCAAGGTGTGCAGATTACAGTATGGTAAAATCAGAGTTTTTATATTTTCATTATTTATCCTACGTATGTGGGGTTTTAAGGGTGTTTCTGGAACAACCAACTTGAAATGAAGGAAAAAAGGAAGTGTAGCAGCAGTTTTCCGTACACAGAAATAACCTCAGAAGCACCAGACAGGATAATGTTACAGTAACATTCGGCAGAACAGTTGCTTGGTGGTTAAGACTGTTGACTCTCAGCAAGAATGCTCCAGATTTACCTCTGTCTTGGTCCTTTCTGTGTGTTAAATTTAGTTGGCGTAGTTTTGCCCTGGGTGCTTGATCCAGTTTCTCCCACAGTCAGCACACATAAAGCTCAGATAAACTAAAAACTAAACTAAATGAGACTGCACATTATTAAATGTGTCCTGTATGGTGATATCATAATAATTTACCTAATATATATAAAATGCA